ATCCTAAGAGCCCGGGCCGCCCTACAAACTCTGCGCCATGAGCTCAAGGTTGGTGGGCATCACCCGGGACCAGGAAGACAGAACGGCAGGAGCTGCCCACTAGGGCCAGTGTTCAGAGGCACCGTGTGTCGATGGAGAGAAAGCTCTGTTTCTCCGCGGTTTAGTAAATGCAGGGCGCCGCCATTTTCTGGAACTCAAAACTCTAAGGAAGAATGATTTAGTGTTCTTCTCACTTCCTTGTTTTAAGGGCCAAATCTCTTCAGTTTACAGCTAACACAGGCCCCTGAACCCTGTTTAATGCCAAACGGAACAAAGGTCGAGTTTCTTCACTGCACACCCTTTCTCTTTCTCCAAGACAGACAGCCCTACTCAGCTTGTTCCGGGTACCTGACAATTCCACGGTTTTTTTGGTAGCAACTTCCTGTTCCCTCTTCTTTCTGCTCAGCTGCCCTGACTCCTACTCATTGTGTAGATCTTGGCTCAGATGCCACTTCTTTCCCTGAGTCCTTCTGAACCCCCTGCCCAAGCCTGCGGGGCCGCCCCCTCCCACTTCAGAGGGCTTGTGACCCTATCTTACCACGCCTGGGACAGAGTCAGTTTTGTTGGCTGGTGTCTCTCCAGTACCTCATGCTGTGCTGGCACACAGTTAGCATTCAATAAACGGTTACTAAACCAATGAAAACAAAGAGGAATCAAAAGGGGTAAAATGGAAAGGCTTAATGGAGTTAATATAGCAGAATGCATTCACCCTGCAGGGGAAGGGGAAGGAAATGGGTTTCTTGAGTACCTACAACAACTAGGCTTTTTTAGATTCATTAATTCACCTGATTTACACAATAACTTTGTTGAGGTCTGGACTAGTATGTCTATTTTACCAGTTAAGAAACTGGTGCTCAGAGTGGCGAGGTGTCTTTTCTAAAGTCACGTGTCTGGTAAGTAGCAAAGCTGGGGTTTTACCCCCCAGGGAGGTGGCCTACAAACCCAGCCTTGTTCCACGAGGCCACGGGGCTTGCCCACAAAGACAAGTCTTTGGGCAACCAGATTTTTTCCAGGTATACTGGTGTGAGAAGTTAAGAGACAGAGGAATACTGAGTATCCAGAAAGGGATATTGAAGAGGGAAAAGAGAAAAAAAGGCTGTATCCAGTCTGACAGCATAGAACTTGAAGTTGAAGCAAAACCCTTTGTGGAGGTCTCCTAAACCTAATGAGGTATTGTATTAAAGCTGAATCCTGCCCTTGACCTGGGGTGGTCAGAGATGGGGAATGTGTCAGGAAAGTGATTGGAATGCAAGGATAAAGTGAGTACGTCTGTATCATCCTACCCGGTCATTTTTTCAAAAGCTGAAGATGTAATTTTTTCTTAAGGGTCATGGTGTCAAAAATGTCATTTCGTCAAAAGAGCCATGCCAAAATGTCACATTTCATCTTAACCAAACAAAACCAACTCTGGTAGAAGCTGAGTGCCCAGAAGACTTTACAATAAAGATATAATATCATGTAATAATTGAAGTAATATACTATATATTTCTGTTCAATAGTCAAGCCCCCTAATATCCTTGAAACAGAGTTTGATAAGCCAGGAAGATCAATTACAGCTAACAAAACACACCCGACACTGTCCATACGCCAGGTAACAGAACCCAGTGAATGTTGGACTGGCCTGGGATTATCCTTCACTAGAAAAGACAAACCAGAGCTTTGTTTCCTAACATTCTGACTTTCAACTAGATAACTGCTTACGTATATTGTCATGACAGATACTTTTGGAATAAAAAAGGGGGCACCTATTCCACTGAAGAATCAGAAGGGTGCAGCTGACTTCCTATGATAGTTCTTGAGTCTTCTCTATCATCTCTGGCCCAGCCTTGTAGGTAGAATTCCTTCAGTCTCCCAGCGTGGACATTTCCGGCAGCTCCACTTAGAGCTGTGAGGTCTTGCAGGCTGAGAAGAGGCATTTTCAGCCATTCAGCCTTCGGTTCTCACCCAAGAGAAGAGGTCGCCTATGGAAACATACTAGAACCCAATGGAAAACTGCATTATAGAGAAGCTTTGCTTTTCTCTCTCTGAGCTCTGAGGTGGGATGTTGGTGTGACTGGTTTTACCCACTTCCAGAGTCAGTGTACTGTTCGCAAGCATCTGGGACGTGGAATCTGAGCATAGACTGCAGTCCAGGTCCTTGTCAGCTGTGTGACCTTGGCCAGTCACCCTGATTACTTCCCTGAGTTATTGTGAGGTCCGCATGAGATTATGGAAGCCAAAAAGCCTAATGAGTCACGTAATCATAACTTTTGTCCCTGCTCACCATGCTGTTTATCTGTTCAATCAGTCTGTGTTCTCCCCCCGCGGAATGTAAACTCTACTTGTGCAAGATTTTGTGGGTTTGCTCAAGCTGTGGTTGCTACAGCACAGAGCCAACCTGGCACCTAGTAGAGGAGTGATACACATTTTGTACGATTATTCTTTTTCTAATGAGATCAATCAAACTGTGATTCTGTAATTTGCAGGGCGTCTGTACTCTTCTCCCAGAACAAAAAGAAATCAGCAGATCTTGTTGCCCTTGAAAATATTGCCTAACCATCTGCCATCTTGGGACGTTCAGCAGCCCCTCCTGCCTCTGAAAAAGGGCTTTATCTTTTTAAGAGGAAGCAACAACTTATTATTCCTAGAAATGTGAGAAGGAAGGCCATAAGCCAGACTGCCTGAGACTGAAAGGTAAAATTCTTAATCAATGGTAAAGCCACATGGGGCAAGTTTTTTTTAGAAGTAATTCCATTGACAACCCATCACCTGCCCTTGAATCATTTGACTGGCTTTGCTAATGGATGTTGTCTGAAGTTAGTGATGCTCTCTAGAGAAAAGGGAAGCAAGCTTCCTGCTGACCTTGCTGTGCACCGAGAAAATGAGGAACACAAGGCTTTGGTTTCTGAATGCAGTGATGGACCTTCAGGTCGCCCAGCACTTTCACGAGATCGCCTAACAAACTCAGCGTCTCGTCAGTGGCCTCCATTTAGAGGTCTGAGTGTGGAGCTCTTGGGATCATAAACTTGAGGACTGACAGGAGTGACAGGCTTAGCCACACCCTACCCAAGCCCAGATGTTGAATATAATTTGGGTGATTAGCCTTCAACCACCTAAGCTCAAGTCTGAGGATACGGATAATTCACAATTTTTACTTAAAACCCATCTTCACTGTAATTCTAAGCCAAAAATGTGATAGTAACTTGTTGGTTACTCCGGCTGAAAATACTGAACTAGTTGTTTCCTTCCACTTTGTGAGGGTTTCTCTGGTCTTGTTAGGGGGAAAAAAAAATCAGTATAAAGAAAACACAATTTAAAATAAGGTCTGGAAACTGCTTTAAAGAAAGCTTTATTTACTACATACATCCTAAGAATGTATTGTAAATGGAGGAAGATCTAAATAAATTTAAAAGCTTTTCAAATACAAAGCAACTAAAGATAAACTGCTAACATGTTTGAAAACAGAGAACACTAAAGCTTTTTTAATATTTATATAGTTTGTTCTTAACCCTAAAAAAAAAAAAGTTCACATTTCAAGTTATAAACTTACCTCAGTAGTGTATGTGAAATGGTTTTGAAACAGAAACAGACAGACCATAGAGAACAGGCTCACCAAAATCTGTTTTTAGGGTAGTTTGGTAGTTGCCATGTTGAGATATCAATTTTTTTTCTTTTCTTCTCATTATCCTTTTTTTTTCTTGCAAATAATTTACAGGTATATGTAAAATACAGTAAGACCGCTGGGTCAGAGTCTCATCCAGTGAACCTCTGCGACAATCCTTCATTGGAAGGAGTTCTTTCACACTAAGTCAAGGGACGAGGATCTGATCCAAATTGTATTTAGTTGGATGACACAGTCCGAAAGGTTCGATGCAGCTTGCTGGGTACATCATCAGGAACATTGCACAATCATTTTATGTCATTTAAGAACGATGGAAAGAAATGTTAGAAATGTTTAAAGGCCTTGGTAGGCACTCAATAATTTTATAGAATAGTTAAATAAATATTGCTTATATATAAAAAATTCATCCCACCCTAAGATGAGGGGGAGGGAAAAGGCATTTGGGAGTCTCTTAATTTAAAATTTAAGACAAAACTAAAATATTTGCTAAAGGCGTGATCCTATTATTAATCCATAAATAAGAATTCAGCCATTAGCAAAAATTCAGTGAGTTCAAAGATTTTATAGATCTCTAATGTGACATAAACACACAACTGTGTCCTTGCTACCTATTGCACAGCTCAATTCCTTGATGGAGCCTTTAAAAAAAGTTCCAAGTTGATGTATTTCATAAAGCAGATGACACTCTTAACATTTTACTGTATTTTACATTCACTCTGCTGAACAAAAGCCTGGAAACAGGCACAACACTGCAACAATACATTAACTTCCTAATAATAAAACTTTTTAATAACATTGAAATAAAACGGTTTCACTCTGCATTAAACTCTATACCATGAACTTCCACAACATAAAACAACTAAAAACCAGCATTAGATTATGTACAAGCTATCTTTTAACTTCTACAGGTCTCTCTTCCTCCTCCTGGATGTGCACATCCCAAGTCAGCTCACCTACCACGTGCACAGCAATGGAGGAAAGCCCTGCTCAATAAACACAGCATTACCAACACCCTTGACGACCACAGACATTTTGCATTGAAACATGGTAAGTCAGCTAGAAGCATAACTTTCTGCGACAAGAGTCTCTGGGGGCCTTGTCGACAATAACATTCACTGTCTCTATAAACTCATACTTCAAAAATGAATAAGATAAAAGCATTAGAAAAGGAACTAAGGTTTTATATGAGACATTAAATAACTATGCAAAGATATCTTATGGAAACTATTAAAATCTTGCGCTTATGCATACTCTGCTATTGGAAATACCTCCCCAACCAAGACTAAAAAAACAAAACAAAAAACCCCCAACAAAAAAAAACCCCACAAAAACCCAGAAGAAGTATAAAAGCTATCAATGCTTTCTCTATCAGAGTAATTCATTTGCCCTAGACTTGCCAGACTCAGAGGTGGGGGTGGGGATAGGAAGGAAGGAATGAGTAGGGGGGTAGGGAGGGCAAGACACATGGAGAAGAAACGGGAAACAGGGTAATGTGGCAGGTGAGAGCTTTCCAGTGTTTGGACTCAGAAGTGTGACAAGTCTTTTCAACATGGGCTTAAGGAGAGATCGAGTGTTTCTTTAAAAAAAAAAACCAAAACAAAAAAAACAGAACCGTCATAGATAACACATGGTAACACCGTCACCCCTTAATGCCAGCTGAAACAGAGATTCTACTCACTTTAAAATTGCACTTTCCAGTATAACTTTTAAAATAACATTTTATGTAGTATTTTAAAGCACTATTGTTTGTATCTTTAAATATTGAATATATTTTTCAAAATAGTTCCCTAGCTGCTCAAGTGTGCTTTTCCATATATAGTTGATATATTATTGAAGGTACTACAAAATAGAAATCTCTGGAGTGCAGAAGTTAAGAAAATAACCTTCATACTGAAAATATAACCTTAAAAATACAAAAACAAAAACCTCTATACAAATATACTAACGGCGTACAAATTTCTGAGAGATGGTATTAAGGCACGAACCGTCACGAGTCTCTTAGAAATGTATGAACAGGGTCTGCTAAGTGGAAAACAGTCTTTAAAAAACAACAACAACAACAACAACTAGTGGAAACTTCATGAATATAAAATCTTTCAGGATGATACTGGATAACATTCTTCACTTTCAGGTTTCATGAGTGCGGTAATGCCGCACGTTCTTTCTTCATAAATAGTAAAGTGTTCCTTCAGGGGTAGTCTGTGGTCTGCCTGCACTCTCCTCGCCAGTGTCAGTATGTCTGGTAGACGTCGTGGATGGGCACTGGGATAGCAGCGGCGGGGAAGGCCTGAGGTATGTAGCCCGCGTAGCCTCCGTACACGGCAGCGGCCGCATTCTTCTGTAGTGTGGCGATCGTGGCAGTGGCCGGAGCAGCGAACGGGACGTAACTGGCCCCGTAGATTCCAGCAGTGGGAATTCTCTGAACGTTCGGAGCCACCGTGTACACGGGGGTAATCGGGCGGCCCTGAGGGGGGAGACACAGAAAGGCCCCTTAATGACCACGCCCATGGTGCCCTTCCCATGGAGTCAACCCGTGGACTCATTCTTCCCATTCCTGGGGGGCTGGAAGGGGACAGGAAGAGGTGAAGGCAAACATTTTCATTCTCAGGGCAAGGAGGTAGACGGGTAAAATAAGTAATTGTTGTAAGGGAAGGTGGTAAGGGCCATTAAGGTAAGCTGGAGATGTTGTGCCCTCAAGTCAAGGCTCCTTTGAGTTCAAACAGTCAAAGCAACAGAACTGCCAAGCTAAGTTTAAATACTTTGGAATCTTCCATCTTGCCATTCCTTTCCAGCGGCAAGGGAGTTGGGAATCTACCCTTTGCTCAGCTGATCTCACTGTAATTAAAAATATGGTCCATAAAATACATGCCAGTGCCTCCACTCTTACTTAACTGAAGGAACATGGTGCTTCAAAAACGGGAGAGGACAACTGACTGTGACAATGTTACGGAACCCAGTGTAGAGATCTCCACAGGGGCAGCTTTGGAAGCTGTGACCTGAAAACCCTGCAACCACATATAATTTTCAGCAGGTGTCATTGATGACTTCGACCATCTCTCACCTAAGATAGGACACCCACGATGCGTACGGTTGACCCTCAAACAACCAGGGTTTGAACTGAGTGGGTCTATTTCCATGTGGATTTTTCCCACTGTTCAGCCCAGTACCTATATGTATTTTCTCTTCCTTATGATTTTTCTTACCTTATGACTTTCTTACTGTAAGAATACAGTACCTAATCCACGTAACATACAGAACGTATGTTTCATAGACTGTTTATGTTATCAGGAAGCCTTCCAGTCAACAGTAGGCTGTCAGTAGTTACGCTGCGATGGATCAAAAGTTACATGTGGGTTTATGTACAACTGTGTGGAGGGTGGGGGGAGGTGGGCACACCTAACCCCTGCATTCCTCAAGGTCAACTGTGCAGATGGTTGTAGAGGCTCAGAAAAGGAACCAACTCACTTGGGAAGTTGGAGAAAGCAATGTTGGAAGCAGAGACATTTGAGCTGGGTCTTGAAGGATGAGGAGGAGTTTCTGCAGGAGAAGGCAGTAGGGAACGGCTAGCTCACTCACTAAAGCTTCCTTACCTCGGACACCACCTCGGGCTCCATCAGAGTCCCGGCTACTTGCTCTCGTCTACCTGAAAGCCTAACATGCTACATTTCCCGAGCCAACAGGTGTAAAGAGTAAAGACTGCAGCTCAGTATTTCCCAAAGGGTTTGCTCCGGAACCAGTTCTGTGAGATGCTTTATGGCAAGGGGGATTTTCGGTGAAAGAAACACACGCTTAACCAAATACCTAGTACGCCTTACGTTCCTCACGGTGCCCTGCAGTAAATGCCTATATGGCCTCTCTGTCTTCATGCATCTTCAAAATAAACAATTCGGGATATACGAAATGGAGAATTCAATTTTTAAAAATGAGTTCTTCCTGGATTTTTATAAGGGAATTAGTTATCTTTCCCTAACAAAATTTGCAATGAGAGTCATAAAATTATGTTCAAAGGCGACTCACCATCAAAGAGCCATTTTTTCCACTGTAACCAAAATAATAATTATACTAAATGATAGTAACAACCGAGGGACTATGGTCTGCTGGGCACTATTCTAAGTGCCTTATTTGTATGATGTTCTGGAATCATCCCAACCACCAATGAAGCTGGTACTATGATTATACGGAGAGGTCTGATGTGTTAAATGACTTGCACAAGGTGACACAGCTTTTAAGCAAAGGAATGGTGACTCTGGAGCCTGCACTTTTAGCCCTGTGTTAGCTCATCTCCTACAACACTAAAACAGCAAAGATCTCATGGGCAAGAGAGAAACTTCAGAACTGGGAAGATGGTGCCTTATAGCAAGACACAAGCACTCTTTTCCAAATGGGCAGACATATATTCAGTGACAAATGCATAAAGGGATGAAATTGCAGGGAAGGGGACATCCGAGAGAAACCTCTCCATGTGCTAAGGTCGAGCTCAACACCTAGGCCTGGAAGGGTTGAGCATGGGAAGCTGGCGGAGGAAGGAGGAGAGGAAGAGACCTCATCAAGGGGAAATGCCTATCCCTGTTCTACTTATACCAGAGGTTTGTGAAGATTGAGAACTCCTTGAGAAATAAATTTTAAAAAGGTCTATGCCAGTAAATGTTTTCTTCAATTACTTATAAAGCCTTTATGAAGTGGAGAATATAAAATGGCTGAGCAGGAACATCCCTGAGCATGTGCAAGATAGAGGAGTACGAAGGTGTTCCACAGGAAGGTTCTGGAAGTAATGCTGGGAGCAGATTTCTAGTGTGGCTCCACTTGGAAGAGTGTTCTAGTCACCCATCAGCAGCGCTCAAAATGCTCCTTCTGCTGCTGCAATTTGGCAGAGAATACAGGGGTGGGGACAGAGAGCCAAACGTTCAGAGAGCCCAGGGTCAAAGAACTCAGAGGGAGGATGCAGAGGACCGAGACTGGTGGGTGAGCACGGAGGCCACTCATAAACAAAGAAGTCATTCTCAAGTTCAAAAGTAATAGCTCCAGATATGTTGAAGGACAGGGTTGGGGGGGGTGGAATCTTCATCAGAATAAACTGATCAACCCTGTCTACTGAACAAACTCATAAGCAAAGACTCGGAACAGAGACCCTGATGGCAACACCGAGTCGAGACTGATGAAAGACTGAGAACAGCCTGGGACGGTGAATACGAGAACTGGAATCTGGGACACCACGCGCCACGGACAAAAGTGCACGAGTTTCTTAGTCAAGGGAAATCTGACATTATTACCAGAATTCCACTAAATACTATTTGGAGGTTATTGTAGATATTTACAGTCAGGCCACAAGCCGTAGCTATGCTCAGTTGCCGTTTAGAGTGTGAGTCATTTACGACTTACTCCTTTTCCAGGCTTTTGGGAGTCCAGACTCAAGGAAGGCTTGACGACACACCGACACAGGAATATACTTCAACTGGCGTGACCCTTTCTGAATAACACAGTAAGACTGTGCACAGCGAGGGCAAAAGCGACACGAGGGCCGTGTGATGGTTCCCCCAGTCTGGCTCTATCTCAGCATCACTGGGTTCTAGAACCCCAGCCGAGTTCTACCCAGTGGGAGTCTTCAAGGTGCGAGTCTAAGAATCTGTTCTGTAAACATAATCCCTGCATAGTTCAGTTAGGGAAGAGACCCCCAGCCTGGGTATCTGTGCTTCTTGACTAAAAAGGTATTTGAGAGCCTCATGAAAAGCAGCTTTAACACGATTTTTTTGTTTTGTTTTGTTCGGGAGAATGACGTATCATCTATAGGTATTCCCTATGTGCTATGCACTGATGGTAAAAAGAAAACACAAGATGTGACTGTCAGTCTAGAGGAGCTTCATGAGTTGGGAGACAGGACAAAGCAGCAATCATTCGCCAAGGTATCACGTGGGTAACGAGACATACAGGGGACAGGATTTCCAAGGCTATGGTGGATGGGGAAGATTCCACAGAAGTCACGAGACTGAAGACACCACAGAGAAGAGAAGCTGTGAGCAAAGGTGGGGAAGGAGGTTGGAACCGTGAGACTGGACTGGGAGGAGGAGGAATGGAAACAGCTGGGTCTGGTTGGAGGAGAGGGTTAAGGACACATTTTGTAACGTTTCATAGATCTCTCTCTCTACAGGCAATTCTCTCTCCACACACACTGTATATGGATATATATGTTGAAATATTTATACACAGAAGGGGGCAGAAGAACTTTACTTTTTAGAGATTTTATTTATTTATTTGAGATAGAGAGTGTGAGACAGAGAGCATGAGATGGGGGCTGAGGGAGATGGAGAAGCAGACTCCCCCACCCAGCAGGAAGCCTGATGTGGGGCTGGATCCCAGGACCCCGGGATCATGACCTGAGCCGAAGGCAGACGCTTAACCCACTGTGCTCTGAGAACTGTATTTAAAAAAAAAAAAAATTATTGAGCGAGAGAGAGAGAGAAAGACAGAGCTCAGGGTGGGAGTGGCAGAGGGAGACAGAAAGTCTCCAGCAGACTGCTCTGAGCACAGAGCCCGATGTGGGGCTCGATCTCACGACCCTAAGCTGAAATGAAGAGTCAGACACTTAACCGACTGAGCCACCCAGGCACCTGAGAGAGAGAATGGAAAAAAAGAAAAAAATCTTCCTGGAACTGCAATTTGGAATGTGAAAGCGTGAGCTATCTCCCTGGACTTTGGGAGTCAGCCCCTTAGCAGAAAGAACAGGAGTTAAAAATTACCCAGCGTCATAAAAAAAAAAAAAAAAATCGTATGTACAATATCATGACACTGTGAAGAATTACGTGTGTCATTTTTGCATATGGCTTCCCATCTTTAATCCAGCGATGACCTTGGGGTAGTACAATTAGGATTTTGAATTTTTCTGTCCTGACATGATTTATAGGACCCATTTCTCCCGTCGCCCAGGGTTCATCAGAGAGCGAGGCACACAGCTGATTGTCCTGCCGACAGGGAAATGAATCCATGCTAAAGGGAGGCCTCCCACAAGGACGTCAAGGACCCCAGCCAGAGCTCTACCTGGAAGGGTGGCGGCGTGGACACGGTGGGAATGACAGCGGCGGCGGCAGCGGCGGCAGCGGCGGCCGCAGCGGCGCTGGCTGGGTCTGGCTGCACGGCGATGGGGCTGATCATGTGCTCCATTGTGTGGATTTTCCCGTCCTCGATCATTTTAGGGGCTGGCGCTGCCTGAAACATGGAGTACTGGGCCCCGATGGCAGGGATGGCTACTGCAAGAGAAGGGATAAGAGAAAATGCGTGTCGCTTGAGAGTCCCTGAGGGAGATCCGTCCTTTCTTGTTATTTTGCAAAGCCAAGTGTGGTGGTCATGGGCCTCGCCGGCTAACTAATGCTCCCTGAGGCCATGTAACAAGGCATGACCCAGGAGGAAGAGAGGGGAGCTGGCAGGTATGCTCTCCAGCTCCCTGCTCATCCTGCAGAAGGAACCACGTGGGACCAATGGTGGCTCCCAACAGATGCTCACGGAGAGATCTCCAGAGTTAGGTGTCGGCACCAACGTTTTTCCTACTGACTCTACAGAGAACTCTAATCTGGAATCCCACTCTTGATTCCTACAGCACAGGCAAGGGCCTTCTGACCGAGAGGAGAGGCTCAGAGTGAAACATGAAATCAGAGGCTCGAGGCCCCACCAGGTGCGAGCGAGAGGGAGCCGGCCCGCCCTCATCCCTCACCCGGCTCATTACCAGACCTGCCACCCTTTCACTTTCACGTTTTAAGAAACAGGTGCTGCTAAGGGTTTCCTTCTGGGAATTCAGAGGTCTGTACATGCCTTCCCCACTCTGTTTTAGCTTTCAGCATTACTGATTCAAGCAAAAATACTTAATAAAAAATGGCAAATTCCCTCATCTTCTAATGTCCACTCATAGCAGTGAAGCAGGCAGAGTGACTGGTTTGGGGACGGGCCCCGCCAACTCAAAGATGTGATCTGTGAGTGAAGTCCCTATTTTAACCAGGGCTCAAACAGACAGCAGGTAATAAATGCCGACATCTAATAAAGACAGGTACAAGGAAAAAATTCTAGCTCTGGTTTTGGAGGAGTCTGAGTACATGGTACATATGGATGTGTTGAAGGGTAAGCAAGAATATAAAATGCATACACAGAGTGGGCTTTCACGTTTTTTCTACAACTGTAGGTATATTTATTCTACTACAAGCTCACTTGACATAAGGTAAAGAGACAAATGATTGCAGGCCAAACCATGGTACGATCTTTCAATAAAATGGACCTAAAACTTTCACCAAATCCTTCACCTGCCTTTTCAATTACAGGGTCTGTGGTCACGTATTTCAGCATGCCCTGGTGTTTCTCCTAAAATATAAAGTTCTAATTTTCTGGATGAGTTAGAAAGGCCATGGGGATGGGGACCTGAGGTGATTAGGAGTTTAAGCTACATTGGGATTTTACTGAGTAACTCTGGATTGTTGGATGTCAGCCCGCAGGAATTTCTATGTCAGGCCCCAGGACACGACTATATGCTTAAAGATGGTTTAAAAGCTCTTTTCTCTAATTAAATCTTAAATTATCACAACTTGCCAACAGGAGTCCCTTTTCCAACAGGAAGAAGTGACAGCTCTCACATCTAGGCTCTGTCTTAAGGCATTAGGGACATCCATGATCAATTTAACACACTTACAGTGTCAGTGGCATTTATAAGGAAATCCAGTGTAAGGAGTCACTTGACGGAGAATTTGCAACACTTTTTCACAGGCAAAAAATAAATAAATAAATAAAAATTGCTGGATTATCAAAAGGAAGCTCTACTGGGAAAACACTTTTTAAGCCCTACGTGGCAATGCAGATTCCTGGGATCTCTTAGCTAGGGAAAGGAGTGTACAATCCTCAACCAGAAGAAAGTTGGAGCAGCTGAGCTTTAAGGGGAGGATTCTCTCCAAGAGCTTTTCAATCTGCCCTCCCTGAAACCAGGAAGAGGGCTGGGGGAGGATGGCTCTGACTGTCCACGAATGAGGCTTCCCTACATTTGGACACCTGTGTGGTGTGAGCTGGTGTTACGCTGCCCTCGGGATTCGAGTTCTGCACAAGTTTGGATCAGAAGGAAGACCTGCCTCCTGTTAGGTTGACCAATGGGCACTAATCACAGGGGCAAACTGGTTTGTGGGGCTTTGCAGGTGAAAGCAAAGTTCAAGGTTTCTGGCTTGAATTATATGAGTGTCCCTACCCCCGATCTACTGCTCCAGCAAGATGGGGAGAGAAGAGTGCTGGGAATTGGAATCCAAGAAACGAGCAACTGCCATTTTATCAATGAGCAGCTGCCATTTTAAGCTGCCTTGTTCCCAGGTTTTCTGGCTTGTTCTAAGACCATGACAAGGGACGCTTGTGTTTTGTGCTCCCGAGGAAATTTTTTACCCTTTCCACCAACTCTTGGAACCAGTGATCAGCGGTACCTTGTGGCTGCTGACTGCTGGTGTAGCAAAAGGCTTGAGGAGGGAGAAGACAGTTTGGGCCAGCAGAAGATACAGAAGGGCCTCCCAATTTTCTGTGTCTTCTGCCACCCCTCCTCACCACTCCACCTCGGTCACAGATTGAGCAACAGGTTAACCACTGATGACACCCATTGGTAAAACCCACCACTGGAAAGTTTGACTTGAACATGATCGGAGGTAGAAGAGCCCCTTAAGTTCTAGAGGAAGCGGCTCAGGAGGCCATAGTCTTTGCCTGACCTCTGGCTGCCTGTGAGAAGCGGAGTGCACGTGTCAATGAAGGAGCCCGAGGAAATCTTGGGGTCACTTCAAAGACAGCGTTGGGGTTTTGGCTGAGTGGATGCAGGCTATCTCTGGTTTATACTGACCTGTACCAGGTTTAATGGCAACGGGATTGACAGCAGAGATTTCCAAATTCGGCACAAGCTCAAATCCTTTTTCTTGTTGCTTTCCTTTCCCTTCATGATACCGGCTATATATACCACGGCCAGCCGAATATCCCCCGAGGTAGGAACCCCTGGGCCCTGGGGCTCTGTTGCCAGCTGCACCTCGACCCCGGCCTCTTATGCTGCCTGCTTGGAATAACAACACAAAAAAATGGTGAGTATCCAACAGCTGATGGTACGAGAGGCAGATCTCAACTCAAGATTCTCGGCGTTCCAGTGTTTGCCCCGAGTCTAGTTGGAGATGGTGTGTAAGCTGCTCTAGAATGAGCTGGTAAGAGGCTTCCAACATTCTATTCCATCCTAGATTCGTATCCTAAGCACTTACACTCACGCAAGAGATGAAGTTACATGGCAAGTTCCTAGGACTGTGACTGCAACTTCAATAAAGAACAACATTCCCCAGCTGCAAAGATGTTATATCTGGAAGGGGATCTGCTGGTTCACCTTCCTCATCGTGTGGGTGAGAAAACTGGCGGAGGGAGGGTCAAGGGACTGATGAAAGTCACATAGCCAGTCAATCTGATGACAGCAGGTTTCAGAACCTAGGTATTGGTTTCCCAGTGTAATGCCTGGTTTCACTCTACCCTAGCGAGTAAGTTAACCACCACCGCCACGCCAACAACATCCTAAAGATGAATTTCACAAGGAGGCTTTAACCTAAGTACCCAGACACTGGCGGACTAGCCCCAGATAGGGTAGGTCCTGCAAAGGTAGTGTGCAAGAAAATGCTTGCATGCCCCCGTGATTTTAGGGCTCATCCCATACAGAGGAACGACCTGCGTGTCCCCCAATGCTATGGAAGCAAATGTTCTACGTGCCTGTGAAGAACAGACCCCAGAACCTACACCCAAAGCAGGGTGGGTGAGTAGCGGGGAGGAGCCCATCTAGCAGCTCAGCAAATTATAGCCACAACACCCCTGACGCTGCCCGGGCCATGCGGCTCTGCCCCCCCCCCGCCGCAGAACAGCCCCCACTAACCTTTCACAAAGTAGTCTCTGTTGGGCCCGATGAGCGCGTTGTAGGGGTAGCCGTAGTAAGCCAGCGTATAGGGGTCGCACGAGTACACGTAGCTGGGCTGCTGCGCTGCCGCCTCTGCCACGCCGCCGCCCTTGGCCGCCTTCTGGTAGCGGGAGTACTGCTCCTTGTCCACAGGCTTGGCCAGCGTCACCTCGAGGCACGAGCCCTCCAGCTCGGTGCCGTTGAGGTTGTTCATGGCGTGCACGGCGTCCTCGCGGCTGACGAAGTGCACGAAGGCGTAGTCGCGGATCTTCTTGACGCGCTCCACGCAGCCCGGGTTGAACTGGCCGAAGCTCTTCTTGATGGTGTCCTCCGTGGTCTCGATCATGAGGTTGCGCACGTAGAGGATCTTGACGGTCTCCATCACGTCCTCGTCCACGTCGATCTCGGGCTCAGCCCAGTCCACGGCGATCTGGTGGCCCCAGAGCTGGATGCGGCCGGGCATGAGCTTGCGGCGCGCCATGGCGGCAGCGCGGTGGCTCTCGTACTCGACGAAGGCAAAGCCGCGGTTCTTCATCTTGTCCGCCGCGCTGGCGTAGACGATCACGTCCAGCACGCCCTCGGTGACCTTGGCGATCTCCTCCAGGATCTCCTCGCGCTTCTTCATCTTGGGGATGCCGCCGATAAAGAGGCGGCAGTTGTCCACGCTGCAGCACACGCCGAGCAGGCGGCCCGGGCGGATCTCGTAGTTGTTGAGCTCGCGCACGGCGCGCTTGGCCTCGCTCTTGTGGCAGTACATGACGAAGGCGTAGCCGCGGTTCTTGCCGTCGAAGTCCATCATGAGGCGCAGCTCGTAGATGCGGCCCACCGCCTCGAACACAGGCACCAGCTCGTCCTCGTACACATCGCGCGGGATCTTGCCCACGAAGACCTCGCAGCCGCGCTGCGGGTGCGGGCCCTCCCAGCCGGGCGGCGGCCCGCCGTACTTGCGCTGCCCGTTCTCCTGCACCATGCTGTAGCCCGTGCGCTCCATCAGCGCCAGCAGCGCCGCCTCGTTGGGCGCGCCGGCCACGCCCTCCGGCACCTTGGCGGAGGACGTGGCGGCCGAGTCGCTGCTCATGGCTGCGGTGGAATCCTCTGCAGTCATAATGTCAAAGGCATCCACGGCTGCAGGAGATCTGGGGGGAGGAGGCAGAAGGCAGGGTGAGTGTGGAGTCCGCACCGCCTCGAGCCTCAACCTAGCTACTTCATTCTTTTAAGACCTGCGAGACTCACGCCTTAACCAGCAGGTGGTTAGATGAGAAATAAATACAGCAGCTCGAACAGAGTCTAAATTAGCCAAGTTGTTTTGCCGGAAAAACCAGAAGGGACTCGGGGAAAAAAAAAATTCAGAACGAGTAAGGACTTCCGCTGAATCAGTACCCCCAGCAGCTTTGAAGCACGGCGAACCTGCTGTAATTGGGAGTGAAAAACCTCACGTTCTTGCAGCAAATGGGAACATCTTTTGCTCAACTCCTGCACTGTCGACTCAGACTGATTTCCTTTTCGTTATATAGCATTTTACCCCATTTATTTCTTGGGGAGACAAAGGCTCTTTCTTTGCTTTTTTATTTTTTTTTTAAGACAATCTTGTCCCTTAGGAATAGACATAGAGCAGTGCGTTTAAGTTGTCAAGGAAAACTTGGAGGAGGTGTTATTCTACAGGACAGAGCCGTGTGCGGAAGCTTTTTCCAAGAGAGAAATGGAACATCAGCATTGCCAAGGACGTGGCCTAGGAGCTGTGGCAGGAGCTGCTGGTAAGTCGGATTTTTACGGTGTCATTTAGGTAAAAGTTTGGGTAGGAACCATGCATGGATTTGGGATCAGTCTACAAAGAGCTAGATTAAGTTCAACTGCCGGCGGGGGGGGGGGGGGGGTTTGAAGCAGCTACAATCCTGTGAGCCACAGTACGGGTTTTTAGGGAACTGTCACACGCATTATCTTATTCCCGATTTTCTTAATCTCCTTACATGGAAAGCGGTATTATTATTACTCCTAATTTGTCTGTAGGCTCAGAGAGGTTGAGCAAATTGCCCATTTCACACAGCCAAGAGTCATCTCCTACCAGGATTTGATTCCAAGTCACCTGGTTCCCAATGCCACATTTTTTCTTTGAAAGCAGTGCTGTGCAACAGAACTTTCGGTGAGGATGGAAAAGCTGTCATTAGCCACTTGTGGCTACTGAACACTTAAAAGGGGGCTAGCGTAACTGTTGAACTGAGTTTTTTATTTTACTTTGTTTTAGTTAACTTAAAATTAAATAGCCATGGGGTGCCTGGGTGGCTGAGTCCGTTAAACATCCTACTCTTGATTTCGGTTTAGGTCTCCATCTCAGGGTTGTAGGATGGAGCCTGCATGGGGCTCCATGCTCGGCGGGGAGTCAAGGACTTGAGAGTCCCTCTGCCCCTCCCCCCCCACTAGTGCATGCACACACATGGACAGGCTCTCTCTCTCAAATAAACCTTAAAAAAAAATCCATATACAATAGTGTAAACCATTTCACCTTCGCTCATACAGAATGGGGCTCTGTGGAGATGATTTTAACTATACAGTAAGGTTATCATTAGGGGCTTTGTGCCGTGCTTTTGTAAAAAGGTCCTTTAAAAAAATGAAGTTTATTTCATTTTTTGGGCTACAAAAGTATTCAGGTAAATTTTATGGAAAATTAAGAAAAGCAGGAAAAGAAATCATTCCTGTTATTCCTACCCAATGATAGCCAAAATTAAACTCTCCCATATATATATATTTTTAATATGATTTTTTGGGGGGTGGGGATGGAGCTTGGCTTCCAACAAATTTGCATCTTGTTGCTTTGCTTCATTTTATAAGCATCCCTCCAGATTCTCAAAAACTCTTTGTAAAAACGTATTTATTACTTAATGGCATAAAGTTTCATCATTCAGCAGGAATCTGGAGCATGATCTGTAAAAATTCACCCGTAGAAACCGTATAGAATATTAAGGGAAATTTCAAGAATAATTAATGTAAGTTTGATCGTTTAAAAAACACACACACACAAAAGAAATTGGAGGGACACGACTGAAATCTGAGATGTTTGCCAGCCGGCTGAACAAGTACTTTCTTGGTTCACCTGCCGTTAACACCAAGGGGCAGTAGGATTTCGTGGGGAACTGAGTGGCCCCTGGAGCCAGATTACATGTTTTGTTGTTGTTGTTATTGTTTTTTAAGATTTTGTTTATTTGTCAGAGAGAAAGAAAGCACCGCAGGCTGAGGGAGAAGCAGACTCCCTGCTGAGCAAGGAGCCTGATATAGGGCTCAATCCCTAAACTCTGGGATCATGACCTGAGCCAAAGGCAGCTGCTTAACCGACTGAGCCACCCAGGCATCCCTAGCCCAAATCTTTCAATTTCAGGGTAATTTGACACTTTCTCAGTTCTTTTTTTTTTTTTTTTAATATTTTTAATAGATTTTAAAAATATTTATTTATTTGACAGAGAGGCAGGTAAAGAGAGAGAGGAGGAAGCAGGCTCCCTGCTGAGCAGAGAGCCCAATGCAGGGCCCGATCCCAGGACCCTGAGACCATGACCCGAGCCGAAGGCAGAGGCTTATTAACCCACTGAGCCACCCAGGCGCCCCACTTTCTCAGTTCTTTAAAAATATCTGTTTCATATGGCTTCTATTCTTATCTTTTATTTCTTTTGCTTTTTAAGTGCTTGAGACTGGTTTGACAACATAGTCACTTATCATGAAGTCTTTTTTTCTACTACAAATTTGAAAATGATACATTTGTTCCTGTAGTTTCTCACTGAAACAGAAATTTCAATATCAGATTTGAACATGAAGCTCTTCCCTTACTTCAAAAGGGAGATAAGGATATATTCTTAAGAAGACTATTGGTACAAACATGTATGTGTTTATAATTTGTGACCTGGGAAGGAAATGCCAGGACATACATAAACATGTATGAGGCAATGCAAGATCTTACATGTTGTGCTACATAAAACGTTAACTAAAGTCCAGAGGAAGACACCCTATTGCTCTGAGATGAGCAGAGTTGACTTCGTGTTTTCCTAATTTTACTCTGAAATGACCATTTTACCCGAGAGAAGTCTTATAAGGGTCAGGCTATGAGAGTCATTTCCAGTGGCAATTCCATTAATTTTATAAAAATTTTTGTTTGCTTTCAGTTTGAAATCTGATGGGGTCAGTAATATAATCACTCTTTTTTTTTTTTTTTTAAATCACTTCCTTTAAAATTGTTATAGCTGATTTCTTACATCTATAAGCCAAGAAGTCGTTTTTCCTGAGCTTTCATCATCTGGAATAAATGAATCGTGTTATTGTACCTCTTTCCCCTTTTTCTTTGGCCACTAGGAAGTTCAGGATGAAAACTGCCACTTCAATTTTAGTAATCATCAAAGACATTATGACACAGTCTCAAGTTTATTTAATTTCAGCTATAGTGTCTTTTTTTTTTTTTTTTTTACTCTTCTATATACCTGGTGCCATGAATTTAGCTATTTGTATTATTCATCTTATTGTTCATATATTCCTGGAAGTCATCTCACTTAATTTTGGAACTAGCAGAGGAATGAAAGCATCTACACACACACACACACACACACTAATTTGCACCAGGCATTGATGAATGTAATGTCTAAATGAACTGTCTTTTACACTAACTAAAAACACTGACCTACGAATAAATGAGAACCACAGTGGTTCTCACTTATTAGCATGGCTATTATAAAAAACAGAACAAAACACAAAATGAGCATTAGCAAGACCGTGAAGAAAACTGGAACCTTTTCACATTGCTAGAAGGAATGTAAAATGGTACAGTTACTGTGGAAAACCATATGGTGGTCCCTCAAAGCTTAAATCTAGAATTATATGATCCAACAATTCCACTATTGGTTATATACCCAAAAGAACTGAAAACAAGGATTCAAACAGATATTTGTACACCAATGATCCTACCAGCATTATTCCCAATAGTCAAAAAGTAGAAACAACCCAACTGTCCATTGGATGCATGGGAGGACAAATGAAATGTGGTAGGTATACTTAGTGGAATATTATTCAGCCTTGAAAAGGGAATTAGAACACATGTTACAACTTGGATGCACCATGGAGACATCATGCTAAGTGAAATAACCCAGCACAGAAGGACAAATATTGTATGATTCCACTTATATGAAGTACCTAGAACAGACAAATTCATAGAGACAGAAAGTAGAATCATGGTTGTCTGGAGATAGGGAACGGGAGAAGGGAACACCAGTGTTTATGGAGTTTCAATTAGGCATGATGAGAAAGTTCTAGAGGTGGATGGTGATGGTTCCACAACAATGTGAATGGACTTAATGCCACTGAACTGTATACTTAAAAAGAATTTTAAAATAGTTAAAATGGTTAATTGTTATCTATATTTTACCACAATTTTAAAAAAACCTCAAAAAGAAAGTGAGAAAGCTCAGAGATGCCAAAGGGACAAAAAAAAAAAAAATCCCATAAAATTGGGATTTCATTAGAGGCCTTTAAAAAAAAGCACAACAAGGAAGTTTAACACATTCACAAAAATCTTGTCTACAAACTCCATTCTCCTTATCTTTATGTCTATTGTACTATCGTTAATTATATGGTGTGCTGCTCAACGAATTTTTAAGGCCAAAGGCTTCGATATATAAAAGAGATATATGATTTATTTAATGCCTTAAAAAAGGGTACTATATACGGCTAATACGACTCTTCTCTCAGAGACGGAACAGAAAACCTGATTTATCACAATTAGACCAGCTTTAGACCAAGAGCCTGGCAACTACGACCATGGGCCAAATCCAGCCTGCCATTAGTTGCTTTTTTTTTTTTAAATATTTTATTTATTTATTTGACACACAGCAAGAGAGATCACAAGTAGGCAGAGCAGCAGCAGGCAGAGAGACGGGGCAGCAGATTCCCCGCCGAGGAGACAGCCCGATGTGAGACTTGATCCCAGGAACTCCACACCATGACCTGAGCCGAAGGCAGAGACTCAACCCACCGAGCCACTCAGGCGCCCCTGCCATTAGTTTTTTATAAATAAAATTTTAGATTTTATTTATTTACGTATTTATTTGTCAGAGAGAGAGAGAGAGAGAAAGAGAGAGCACACAAGCAGGCAGAGGTGGAGAG